CTAACAGCCAGCATCTCTACACGTTCAGCTACAGCCAGACATGCAAATGTGCTTTCAAATGCTCAACTTCAATCACGTTTCGTTAAATAACGAGCAGTGATCGGATAACAAACAGTAAGCTAGCGCAGAGACCCCAGTTGGTCCGCTACAGCATGACAGAGGAACACTTTTGTAAGTACTCCAATCTACCACAAATAGACTACATGATCCAACGATTTTTGCAGGGATTCTTCCCATTCTTCTTCCTGATAATGATCTGCTAGGGAAGTAAAGAAACAAAGCTAGTGTGTGTACATAATACACTGCCTGTTTTAATATGAGCTTATTATACATATCGCAAGTAGAGCTGCTATCAGTGTTGCCGTTTTGATAAATTGGTAGTTTCATTTCAGGGCTGTTCGAAATGTCAAAAATGCATTGAGCTGTTGTTGCATAGTATTCGTTTATTAGAACATTTGTAAAAATTTTAAATAAATTTTGTCGAATGGCGGTAATACAATGGTGATGTGAAAGTAGAAAAGCGTACTGAAAGCGTGCTAAAATGGCTTAAAACTCGTACCGAAATATTAAGATTATGTTGCTGACATTCCGTAATTTTATTGCATCATGGTTAAATGAAAACAAAAAAATAAAAATAATAAAAAAAAATAAATAAAATTGCGCGAGCACAGTAAGAAATTTTTTTTGGTACCAAATATAAAATGTTTATATCGATTGTATTTTTTTTACATTTTAGACATAAAATAATTGATATAAATTGAATTAATATCAAAGATTCATACTTTTGCATGAAGTAAAATCAGAAACGAAATAAAATATCAATATCTGATGATTAAAAAAAATTGGTAGTTTGGAAACTGATTTGGTAGGATTTTTTGTTCCTAAAAATATTGTCGAGTGGTAACACTGGTTGGTATATTTAATACACCAGTGGTGAAATATGCATCAATAAGGCACCCCTACACGCTTAAAGTTTGTTTGGGTACTAATGATTCAACATCATGCCTTCACAAATGCAGCTATAAGTTGCATAGTATATATGAGTACGAACAACAGCGAGAATTTTTTCTACATAACATAGGCGAACGCTGATTTGATTTCTTCTTTTCGTACGCGAACGTTAACAAAACATGTTGAAATGTATACGTTCGCGTTTGCGTTCGAATAATGGACGTGTGGTAGGCGCTTAAACTTCTGTCAACTGTGTTCATTTGGCAAGAAACATTTTTTATACCAAATTCTCAAACTGAATTGTGTCTAGGGCAAAATAAATACACCGTTCTTGGCTTGGTAAATATTTTTGTACCAAACTCAAGAATCTGTGTAAGTTTGCAACGACGACCACATTTTCAAAGTATTATAAAAGTAAGGCTAAGTTCACAACCTAGAGTAATAGCGTTACGCGATGCAATGGAAATCGCTCAATCCAAAGAAACTTCTTCGCCAGCATAATCGCTGGCGATTAAAAAGTAGCTAGTGTTTAAATTGCAGCAAAATTATACACGACTAATTTTTTAGAATAGGGGAGTTTACGATGAGTAGCATTTTAGATTTAAAGTTGCTACGTACCAATCTAGCACATATTTTGTTGTTGGTAAAACAACAAAACGTGTGATACATTGCTTCGTAGGGATTCCCCTAATATATATTTTTTGTTTCCACAACCCTTTGACAATTTATACCGAAACTTAAGCATATTGTATTGTATATAATAGCAGTA